CACGCACGCACGCACGCACGCACGCACGCACACACACACACACACACACACACACACACACAATTCTCCTTGTTTATGTTGTGTTGAGAAAAGAGCTTCGGCACCTTTGCCTTTCAATGCTCAAGTTATCCTTCACGGCCAAGCAAGGCAAGTCTGAAACTCCAAACAAGATGCACAAAATGAAGTCACATCCAGCCGTTTTGCTCAAGGCTAACATTGTATATGAAGTGTAGTCACTTACTGTTTTCTTCCACGAGCGTTCAAATGAGCATCTCTTAAGCATGCATGAATGACGACATTTCCGGAATGACAGTGGTGGCTGCAAAGGTGTGGGAAGGCTGCACTAGGAATGGTGGCTGCAGCCAATCCCCTGTTGCCTGGGGGCTAACTGCTGCCACTGTTCAAATTTCCACCAACCCGCAGCTTCTAGGATAGAATTAATAGTGTGTGGCCCGTCAGTGCTGTTAACCACAGTAGAAAATACACATGCACAAAAAAAAAACATTCTGAACGCATTTCAGCTTTTTTATAATGGAGACTGTTACGAAGAAAAGGAAAGTGGAGAGAGAGAGAGAGCTGTCGCTTTGAGGACAAGTGGAAATGGACATTTTTTTGTTGAAATATGAAATAAGAGAAGAAATCCAATTCCAGCTCAAGGAATTCAGTATCAAGAGGCACTGCCTGACGAAACATGCAAACGACCGCAAGGTGACTGATGCTGTGAAAAACTCAAAGTGGAAGCTGAATGGTCTGCTGCCACACATTTTCAGCTCAGCAAATCTGGTCGTTTTTTTTTTTTTGCAAATGGTTTGGACACCCCTGATATAGATGTTTATTAGATATATGAACGTGTAAAGAAACGATCCATCCAACCACCACTTTTCGAGACTGCCTAATCTCATCAGCGGGTGAGCCAGAACCTATCTCGGCTGATGTTGGGTAAGAGGCGGGGTACAGCTTGAACAGGTCATCAGCCAATCGCAGGGCACATATTTGATAAAGCAATTATTCACGTTCAAATCTGAGGCCTATTAAGTCTTCTCTGAACCCAATGTGCATGTTTTAGAATGTGGGAGAAAGCCGGTGTAGCCAGAGACAACCCACGGAAATACAGGGAGAACATGCAAACTACGCACAGGAAATATCGCAGCCCAGAATCAACCCCACAACCACAGAACCGTGTGGTGGATGTGCTAAACTCTCTTTCACCGATCAGCCACAGATTAACCATGTGCAGCTAAAATAGTAACATGTCTGTTGAAATGACACCCTGAAAAATGAAGATAATTCAGTATCAGAAGCAAATACTGTAACGTGAATTGTGATCACTTTCACCTTCTACTGTTTGTCAAGATCGTCTTCGTACAGATTTGATAATCATGCTACTGCTCAGCACAGGGGTGAAACTATTCAAGTGGCATACAAAACCCTGAAAAGAGCTGATTTTTCTGCTTGATTATCTAGTATTGTCGTCGTCGTCTTTTTTTTTTTTTTTACACAAATACAAAATATATTTGTTTTGTAAATCTTACCTACACTGATGGATTTTTTTCAGCATATGAAAAAATGTTGAAATTAACTAACATCAAAGCGGCGCTTCCATCCTCCGATTTTTCTGTATGTGGCCCTTAGAAGAAAAGATAAGATAACCTTTATTTGTCCCACACTGGGGAAATTTGCAGTCTACAGCAGCAAAATTTAGGGGGGGGGGGGTAGAAAAGAAAAAACAAAGTGCTGCACGCACAAAATAAATAAATGTTTCAGAAAAAGAACTGTACACAGTATAGAATGCAATATGTGTGGACATTGCAGTGAAATCTTCCTTGCAGAGAAAATCAACAATAATCCAATGCTGAAAACGTTTGCATATACAATCTGTGCAAACTCTTTCTATCAATCAACAGAACACGGATATGGCAATTTGTTTTTTTCTCGTTCAGAGATTAAAATTTCAGAATTATACCCGAATATGACCCAATTGCATGTTTTTTATTGCCAAAAGGGGTGCAGAAGTACACACAGAAAATTGCAATCGAAACTTTTCATTTTTTTCAATAATTTCTGACAAGACATGACAATGACAAGTACCGGTACATGTTATAGTTACATATGTTTGAAAATCTCACGGCATGTTTCCACCAAGCTCTAAAGTTCAGTATAATTTTTTATGCGTCGTAGGGCCGCAGTTCCATCAGCTTCTCCTCCAAACAACTGATCAAGACAGGGTCAACTTTCAGGTCAAATTTGTTAGCAAACCAGTGACCATTGTTGAGGAGCCAGCGAAGTTCTGCAGCTCCATAGATGCAAACACTTCTCACATGCGTACCTGTGCAGGGTGGATATAAATGTCCTTCTAAATAGCTCCATTTGACAAGTCGTGTCTTACTCTTTAAGTCTGTTATGTCTGGTTCTGACCTGGGAATGTGCCCTGGTACTCCTGGCATCCTGACAAGGGTGGCCCAGAAGTGTTCATCTGGTGAGTAAGTGTCTGCCGACCACGCCAGAAAGTCCATCACCACTTTGTTGCTGCTTATGTAATTCACAAACTGGCGGGAGAGGACAAAATATGCACTCCCAATGAACACCATGATTCCATGTGGCGGAACATCTTTGGAAATTGCGGTTTTGACGGGAATACTGTGGTACTCATGTGGCACAGTCTTTAGCTCATGATGAAAGCTGAAGCGTTGTTTCTTTAGTTCGCTGGGGCGACTCGATTCAAGCATGTTACTGCCATTCAGCTGCCTAAGCTCCCTCACTAGTTCATTGTTGGACTTGAGAGGAAAGTCTTGGCCACAGAGATTGATCACATATTTCCACTTGACCTCTGACCTCAGCAGGTCAGAGAGGCAGTTGAGATCGGCGTTGAGCCTGCTGACATGGGCATATTTAACCGACTCCAGTTTTGAGGCAATGAACACACTTGGCACACAACGGGCAAGGTTCTCCATGGCCTTAATAAATGCCGGAGAAGACTTTTGGTCATAGTGAATGCAGTAGATGTTCTGTGGTGCATAGATGGCATGAAGAATGCGCTCCACCATGGGTGCATTTTTATGTACCACCAGGGAGTAAGCCAGCGGAAAGTTGTGCTCCAGCTCGGAAATCAGAATACCATTATAATGTCTTGTTTTCATAAAAGCTGGACAGTCTGAGGTCAGACTTACGGTGCTTTCATCATCCACGGGAACAAGAACTTTTTGTTTGATCTCAAGAGCTTTGCCTATTTCCACTGGGTCAAGCTCGTAGATAGCAGTGCAGTTGACATCATACGTGTGGCTGTGAATTCCAGATAGCCTGCCGGTAACTCCATGCGAGTCAATGTAGATGCTCTCCCCCACTGTCACTTTGAGGTAGACCAGCTTCAGGAAACACGTTGCCACCAGAGACACAAGAAACAGGAAGCACATGTGTCTCAATCTATGTATGGAGCAGCCGCATTTTATTTTCATTCTAGAAAAAGTAAAAGAAAAAAAAAGCACACAAAGATAAGCATTTGAAAGAAAATCGATCTTTCAAGTGCCTATTTCAGTACTGTACATGACATACAATACATGAAACGCAAATTCAATGTTTCGTTATTTGTGTAAGTTTGTATATACTGTACAGTATATCGCCAGTATCCAAACTGCTTATTCTCACAAGAATCGTGGGTGTGCTGGAACCTATCCCAGCTGTCTGAGGCCAGTAGGTGGGTGCAACCATACACATTTACAATCATATCAAAGGACATTTTAGATTGCACAATTAACCTATGACGCATGTTTTTGTAATGTGGGAGGAAACCCAAGTACCTGGAGAAAACCCATGCAGGCATGGGGACAACATGCAAATTCCAAACAGAAAGGCCGGAGCCCGGATTCCAACCCGCGACCTCTGCATTGTCAGGCAGATGCACTAACCAGTGCCGCCCGTGTGTGTGTGTTCAATCTGTCAAGTGGGTTGCCTGCAGGGATTTTGAAAGTCCAGCAGGTGTCAGTGGTCAGCAACACAGTATCAACACAGTATCAACACAGTGTGTTATTGTGTCAACACGCTTAATGAGGCCTCATGGACCCATCACTAGTGTGAGCGAAGATGGTTGTTCGTCTATGTGTGCCCTACATACTATGTAGGAATGAAGAAAAATGTTATTTTGCTATGTTGCTACTTTGTATTAATGGTAATGCTTTATCTTGTTTGTAAAGTGATTTCTTATAGCTGCAATTGTGAAAGTGCTGTCTGAAGTTGAGTTGAGTACTTTCACATGGGATGAATATGTCACATGATAAGTCTCAGTGCCAGACAAACACATTTGTAAAATATTGAACAAAGTGAGTCTTGTTCTGTTACCTTGAATGAGGTCTGTTGGTTTTACAGCACATTGGGAGGCGAACCAGCAGGAAAAAGGTCTCCATGTGTGAAGAAAGTTTCGACAGAAAAAGGGTGAGTGTGCGTCCTGTGTGCTATGTTTGAAGCTCCATCGTAGACTGGAGGCCGGTTTGGGCGGAGTGACGGAAGGTAGGAGGGGAAGGGTGTCGGGGTAGGTGGGGAAGGAGTCTCGGGAACAGCCCGCCCACTGGCTCACACAACCACAGAACTGTGTCCAACACTATGACTACACATTCACTATGCTCTTACTACCTTAGCCGGTGAGCACCCAAGAGATCTCCCCGCACAGAAACTGGGTTGCGTCATATGTGTTGGTGCATTTGTATTGCATTTGTTTTTGTTTGTGCTGCTATTTTTAGATTATGTCATGGGTCAATCCAAGTGTAGGTTCATACAGGTATTTCAAATGATTAAACCTGCTAAAGTAAACCTTCCATTATCTTCAGCTGTGCATATCTATTATTTAGACCACCGATCCAAGTGACCATCATAGATGCTTCTGTTCAGGCAAGATTCCAAAGCATTACGTATACAGGTGCAGGGCAAGCAATGAAAAAGACATACCCATAATTCAGTTAAGTTTGTTATTTATTCTATCCATTTCTTTTCAGTGCATTATTCTGTTTGTAATATTTTTTGTTGCATATTTAACTCCATGAAAGGATCCAAATAAATTGTGAAAACACATAGGATTACCTCAAAGAACTGATCACAAACAAGATGGAAAATGAAAGAGACAAAATGTCAAACCTAAAACAGTGGCATAAATTCATAACAACAGGTGAGAAAACACATTAAAATTCATGCCTATGACATGAGACACCTCAAACTCAATCTTAGGAGACCGTGGAGAGAGGTTACCATCCTAATCGTGGATCACCCTGCAAGAGGCTTTGCCAGTAGCTGTCAAGTATAGCATTTGGTATCAGTTCTTCATCAGCCACCAAATGAACTGTCCTAATTTTCATGATATGAGTCAGACTGCTCCTCACTGCAAGACAAAAGATATGACACGAACACCGATTTACAAGAAAAGAGACAATTATAATGCCATCACTGGAGATGTTCAAAGAACCTCCAGCGGGGAGAGGTAAGTTGTGTACTGAAATGCTGAAATTTGACAGTTTCATCGAATTATTTTGAGTTCCTCATAAGGAAGTGACAAAGACAGGAAGTGAGTGGAGCAGTCAGAATGAAACATGTCAGCAGATTGGGACAACAGACCTGTGGTCAGTGTTTCCTGAGTAGAACGAGTGCTGTAATGATGGACAGCCATCTCAGAGCATCTGGAATCAGCCCTCTTATCGAGAGGGTAAGAGAAATTATTTTCTGAGAACATCACCTGGTAAACGAGAGGAATAAATGACAAAAACGCCTATTTACACCACAAAGTTTTAAAACAAAATTAAACAACCTATTAATGAAAGACGAGCAGATAGGACATGTGAAACCCCAAAGCAGATCAAATGACATTTAGCAACACTGAGAACCAGGAAGCCTTCTACAGTGTTTATCATTTCCTTAATGAGCTTTTGTTTGTGTGTGTGTGTGTGTGTGTGTGTGTGTGTGTGTGTGTGTGTGTGTGTGTGTGTGTGTGTGTGTGTGTGTGTGTGCGTGCAACTTTTAGGCAGGGAACAGCGGAGACCTTCAACTTTGTTCAAGCATGTGTTTGCCAACTTGGCAGGTTTTTCATCACGAAGCTGGTTGTGCCGGCGTGGTGCAGGGTGTGTCTTTGGAGAAGCACGCACACGCGCACACACACACACACACACACACACACACACACACACACACACACACACACACAAGGTTTTTCCTCCGTTCAAAATTGCATGGCAGCGCCCTCCAGCTAATTTTTTGCCGCCCCCAGCCAGACCAATTGGTATCGCACAACACAGCGTGAAGCTCCAGCTGTGTTGATGGAGGGAGTGATATCCCTCTGCAGCAGCTTTGTATTTTAACTGCAGTTGCAGCATTGCGCCAATATGGAGGTGCTATATCAACAGCAGTGCACAGGAAAGACCTGAAGCAATGGCTCATATATTCCTTCACCAAGCTCCAGTACCCCTCCATGCCCTGCGCACACCCATGTCAAGTGCTGTCCCAAAACACATCACAAACTCAGGAGGCACGATAAGTATTGCAAGGATGACGTCTTGTCAATAAATCTAATAACATAAAAAAAAAAGGACTGTCATGGGTATGATGGCATTCTGAAAGCCAACAAAGACAACTGGGCTGTCAAGAAAGGACTAGTTCAAGGCTTTTGCCAGAGAGGAGCCAAGGGCTCAAACGATGTGATTTGATTTCACCATTGACATTGTGGATGCTTGGCCACCAACCTTTTATTTAGCATTGTTTGACTTTTGTGGGCGACAAAAACACTCACCACTTACACTATCTTCGAAAACAGGAGGTGTAATGCTTCTGCATACTCTGGCAGAAGGAAATAAGGACACGAGCCTCACTTCTGATTTATGGCGAGGTGACATTAGCCGTGTTAGCTTTGCTAGCTCGTGTCAAATCTTACACTGCAGTGCTCACCTGTACGTTTTTGCAACAAAAAATGAGTTTGACACCCCTGTGTGTGTGTGCATCTACAGTGTAGATGGATGCAGTCTAGTAAAGTGTAACCTAACCTTGTCCTGGACATATGGAGAACTGACTGCAAAGTTGTTACCCAGGATAAACTGCAGCCAAAGCTCTGGAGACAAGTGTAACTTTCCTTTGCTGCCTATCAATCTATGTTTTTGCACACAGGCAAAGTGCCACACACACCCTGAGGAATGAAACACAGAACTGTGAAATGGGAGGTTTGCAAAAGGAAAGGCATCGGGTGCACGAAAACTAAACGAACGAGATAGATCAGGCAACCCCGTTGCGGAAGAGCTGAAAGTCACAACTACAACAGTGGTCAAGACAACATCAAGGGACATTGATGCAGGACAATTACGGTACAAATAAAAAACTGACTGATATTTTCTTTCTGTGTTGTGAACTATTTGAGATTCCACAAAAGTCAATGACCAATTGCAGGCTGCATGTGACATTCTATGCAAATCATGTGCAATGTCTACCTTGCAGTGAGCAACACTATAGAGGCCACAGCACCTGCTTGCACGACTATCGGTATCTTATTCCATCAGTGACATGGTTCAGCCAAGGGAACACTGTACAGTACAACCATTAAATTGCCACTAAAATGGTACTGCCTGGAGCTGAAAAAACACACCTTGAGTTCAGTAAACATCTACTGTATTTTGCTTTGTCTTTGGCTTACTTGGTAGACAGACAACATTACACTTAGTGCCATTAATACTCAACATCATGCCATTTCCTCTCCTTTTCCTGCTTAACATTTACTGTTTCAATAATTGGAAATTCCATCCATCCATTTTCAACACCACTTGTCATGATGATGGTCGCGGAGGAAGAGGAATTGCTGCAGCCTATCCCAGCTGACTTCGGACGAAAGGCAAATCATGCGCATGTTAGCACTTCCCATACCTGCGATAATGACCGCACGTCCAGCTCAAAGATTAATCTAGCCGTGCTGAATGTGCGCTCTCTTTTAACACACACTCCTCAAATTGATCCTAAAAAATCGATTTGCTGCCCTGGCGAATGATTCTCTTGCTCCCATTACTGTGCACTCACAGTCTGAGACTTCTCCAGTCCCATTCGACCCTGGGGCTGTGGGCTCAGGTGTTCCTTAGGGTTCCCTGCTGCCCACAACGATGAACTCTGCCAGGAATCCTGGAGTGGTTTAGTCTACCCGTGGCCTGGTCGTCCGCTCACGCGTAAGGTTGCTCCATGATGCAGTGTCACGATATACGAGTGGGCCACCTCATCGGGGCCACGTCATCGGCACCACTCATCAGGGCCGTCCTCAGCTGCCACTGGCCTCGACAGCACCATTTTGTATGAAGGGGTTAGGAATCTCCCACAGGGGTCTGCAGTCCTACTGTCACTACTTCTTCACATCCTGCATGGCTCCGACGCACTTGTGGCAATCTTGATTTTGCTTTTATTGACAATTTCAACCTATTCTTAATTCGTTGTTCTTTTTACCGGCCAGACGGTGTTCATCCAAACTCTCTGGGAAGCTCGATACTAGCTGCAAACATCCACCATGCCGACATCAATTCCATTCCCAGTTGACTCTTCTTTACAAATCACTAAGTGTGTGTCCCTGCTTCTACTTCAACCCTTAATCACGGCAACAATAATCTCATTACGCCCACCTACAATACCAGCTGCTCTCAGCACTCTTCCCTCCACTAGCTCTCCCTACAGGCCCCCCGCTATCAATACCAGCCCCACTGGACAGTTTCTTCATTCAAACCATCACAGGCAGACACTTCAACCCCCTGCTCACAAACAAAGCATTTTTCACAATGACAATCATGCGCATGTTAGCACTTCCCATACCTGCGATGACCACATGTCCAGCTCAAACATTAATCTAGCCGTGCTGTACGTGCGCTCTCTTTTCAACAAAACTTTTGTCATAAATCATAAACAATCTGGAAGGTATTCTTTTCTCAGAGATATGGCTTGGCACAGATGCTCCAGTTGTTCTCACCAAGGCTTGCCAAACAAAATTTTTAAGGGTACAATTGGTGTACTGTTGAGGGTATAAGTGCTGTGACAAGCCATTGGACCCTTTTGCTACAAATTTAGAACGTTTTTTTTTTTCTGACAGTGTAGATTATAATAAATTGTTTGAATAACTTCTAAACATGAATACAATTAATAAATTACAGTAACAGGTTTAGTACCAACTCACCTCCATCACAAGGCACTTTTTTTTCAATATTAATGCAAAAGGGGCTTAATTCAGTTCTTGGTTAGGCCAAGTATTATAGAAAATTCTGAATGTCACAGTTAAGGAGAAATATTTGATTTCTCACTATCACCTGGTAATGTCCAGATGTTGCAACATCATGTAGAGGGTTGAAACCATCATGGTTTGAAGCATTAATATCGGCTCCAGCATTCAATGGTTCACCAACCACTTCCACATTAAGAGCTGCCCAGCCTGAAAAAAAATACGTTGAAACAAATTGCAGTTGAATTAATTAAAAAAATGAACAAAAACATCAGAAATATTAAATATTAATACTTCAATGAGCAGCATTATCTTCAATTTTGAATGAGGCCTTTCACAGAAGCCGCATTTCCTCTCCTGCATGCAACCATTTCTCCCTTTGCATTTCTCTTGTGAAGTTGTCTCTTGCTGAAAGCTTTCTCATATTTTAAGACATTTTCTGTGAAAATGCCAACATTTTGAATCGTAAAAATTAAAGAAGGCAGCACAGTGGATGACTGATTAGCACATCTGCCTCACAGTGGAGAGGTCCAGGGTTCGATTCTGGCCCCGGCCTTCCTTTGTTGAGTTTGCATGTTCTCCCCGTGTCTGCTTGGGTTTACTCTGGTTTCCTCCCACATTCCAGAAACACTCACCTTTGGTGAATTGAACGTGCTAAATTGTCCCTAGGTGTAAGTGTGTGAGCACAAATGGTTGTTTGTCTAGGTGTGCCGTGCTATTGGCTCGCAACCAGTTCAGGGTGTACCCCACCTGCTGCCTCAAGACAGCTGAGATAGGCTCCAGCATGCCCAGGACCTTCGTGAGGATAAGCGGATCAGATAACGGATGGATGAATGAAAATTAAAGTTAGCAAAAATGATGTAAAAGCACTTCAACATATCGTAACAGTTGGACGTAATCTTTTTATAAATGACTACTTTTCAGGAGAAAAAAAAAACTGCCATCTTGCTTGAGTTCTCAAACACTGCTGCCCTCAAGTTATTATTGCACAGTACTTTACATCGCAATTAAAGTTATGAACTTACCTCAACTTCCAAATAGCATAACAATTTTATTCAGATGGTTTTCCTTTGTCTATTTTTGATTTTTTTTTGGGGGGGGGGCACAAAAACAATCCAGGAAAACTTTTCTTTTTTGCCACGGTAATGATGGTAAGACGTCTTCTGTTAGAATTGTGATTGGAAAAAGCATGTGTTTAGACGGACCTTCCAGCTCCACACTTCACAGCTTGCTGCTGTGGAGTTTCTTTTCTGTCTTTTTTTTTTAAGTTCATAAAAAGGGCCAGTTGTACCTCAAGGTTCCAGTGTAAATATAATTGTACACTTACATCGCCAAAACCCAAAAATCATGTTCAATAAGTCATTCAATATGCTAAAAAATGACTAATTTATTATGCCATCATTGATAAATATAATACAAACACATCGCCAGCACCAGCCAACCACATTAAACGTCTGTGCTCATGCCAAGCCCCCGACCGCACAAAAAAACTCTTAATTTTTTTCCAAAGGTCTTTGAGCTGCGAGTGATGTAATAAATAAAATAATGAGCGAATTAACCCCGTGTATTTGCCGAAAATGAACATTTATTTGTATGGCCCTTCATCACAAACAGTCTCAAAGTTGACAAACGGCATCCCCTGATCTTAACCCCCAGGAGGGCAAGGAAAAAAACTAAAAAAAAAAAAAACATCTGGGGAAAAATGTGAAACCTTTAGAAGGGGCCGCAGATGGGATAGCCCCCCTTCCAGGATGCCCAGGCAGCAATGGATGCAGAGTGGGCAATATTTTACACAATGTTACAGAGATCAATTTAAAGAAACAAGTCTACTCAAATGAAACATGAACTAACTTTACTCTTTTCACAAGTTATTGTCTGAACAACACGCAGGCTTTTCTATACAGGCGACGGAAGTTGCCGGAACATCTCTGACATTTTGAGCATTCAAGAGTGTTAATGTGTTAAAACATTTATTCTTAAGCACCGTATTTCCATCCATCCATGATCTGATCCGCTTATCCTCACGAAGGTCATGGGCATGCTGAAGCCTATCCCAGCTGTCTTCAGGCACCCTGAACTGGTTACCATTTGCGCTCACAATTACACCTACAGACAATTTAGCGTTCAATCAACCTACCATGCAAGTTTTTGGAATGTGGGAGGAAACCGGTATACCCGGAGAAAACACGCAGGCACGAGGGAAAACATGCAAACTCCACACAAGAGGCCGGAGCCCGGAATCGAACCCAGGACTTGTGCATTTTGAGGCGGAAGTGCTAACCAATCATCCCCCGAGCCGCTGCTTCGTATTTCCAACACGTTTAATGAGTTAATATTGCAGAAAAGGCAGATGAAGTAGGGACAGACCAATAGTACTGTTTTGTGAAAAACTATTACATTTGACACATTTGGAAATATGGATTTGATGCCCAACAGCGATGATATATATGTGCTGTGTGTATATATGTATGTATGTATGTATGTGCTGTAAACTGACATCTCAGATATGCCTGATTGGTCATCACTTACCACTGTCTGCTTCACACTCTGACAAGTTTTTCTGCTCCGTACCTGAAGGAGTCCTTCGTGGACTTTGCTCCATCCTATTTTCCTGCTCCTTGGTGATGGTTTCTAAAGCTAAATGATGTTTTTCCAAGCCTGCTATCATTCCTCTGCTTTGGATGGGCTCAATACCATGTAACAGGCTTATGGAGTCATCATCAGAAGTCTCATGTTCCTGATCACAGATGTCACTTGTTTCCCTTCAAAAGAAAAATGTAAAATGTAACCCTTTTCTGAAACAATGCTTTTAATTATACTGTATATTTTCAAAAATCTCTGGTCTCTCCATTTTTTGTAACCCATAATCTCTTAAGGGTCGAAGGGTCGTTAACTGATTTAGGCCGAAACGCCTGTCAATCACAGGGCACATATTGAGACAGACATTTTTACAGAGCTGAAACTGATTGCTCTTGTCCAACAATCGAAAGAAAATGATTTTTGACACTGAAAAAAAAAAATTAAATATCAGCTGAAATAGTGTGACTCATGTGAACTCATGAGTTGATTGTGTTTCTTTCTCTTGGCCCCGCTTGAAGTAATGATCTAGAATGTGCTTGTGACCAAAGGGCTTGCCCTTGAGCAATGCACTTAACTCAGGTGCTACAGAGCTGCCCACTGCTGCAGTGTATTAAATTGTTTTTGCATGTTCTGGATTAATCATGAAATCTGTGTGTAAAGCAGTGCACTTCAATTATTATCTATCCTTCCAACCCCAAACTCTCCACCGTGGCTATATGTAGTATTATTTGTCAACAAAATTGTCATTCTGGGTTCCTATAAGTTTCTTCAAGTTCAATTTAAGACAAACTTTTTTGCGCTTTGGCAATGAGGAAAAAAGACAATTAAATGAAAATCAAAGTAAAATTAC